GTTTACCCAAAATGTTGACCAAAGTTAAATTTTATTCTTTTTAACATCAAAATTTAGCATTTTTCATAGAATTTCACATTTAAGCTTTCCGGCTACGCGCCCGGACTGCGCACGCAAATCGAGGCAACTCTAAATGAGATTTTCAAGGCCTCGGGGACACAGAAGTCAATTAAGAACAGGTGATGACCCCTTTGGATCGTCACAGTTTATGGGACACATATTTTTTACTCTCGGCGAAAATTGTGAAACCTCTACCATGTAATTTTGCGTGTGTACGCAAATTGAATAATATAATAAACTTTTTAAAAATAATATAAATAATATTTAAATGAGACGTTTGCGTTAGAAATAAAAACTAACAGAAATTATAAGTTTTCGAAAATAATAAATGTTAATTGTGTGATTCGCTTTATAGCAGTTATTCCTTCCGTTCATTCCAGTACTTAAATACTAGTATCTGTACCCGCGTGTTGCGCGAAAAATATTAAATATTATTTTTATTAGAAAATATTGTTTGAAAACTGCGGTAGACACAAAGGTACAAATGGAATTATTTTATGAACATATAAAGGCACTGGATATTCATATATTCAAGTCATGAAGGAATATCTTGTTGTAAACAGCTAGTAAGGACAACATTAGTAAGAAATGCAACCTTAGATGATTGGTTATTTTTTATTATAAGACGTTAATCTGATCAACCAAGTAATTCATAAATTAGTCAACTCCCACGATATCAAGCCTATGCAGGAGGAGTAAATCTTAGTTACGATGGATGGTCCCACCAACTGAATTATCTCCCAAACAATAACATTTAATAGAGACAGTTAATGGAACAATCAAAACATGGTTCTCTTCCCCTCAAACAAAGAAGCATAGAGTTTAGATTTCAAAATGTTAAATTCGATGCTAACTCCAATCAAACTGCTTGACACAAATTTTAGGACGTCGTTCAGTTCAAACCTAAAAAAAACAATAGATATACTATGACGTTGTCCTGCTACTGCCACAATTTACGTCAAATATCACGTAATGCAACTAAACATATGAATTTTCTTATTTTGCAGCAATCAGGTTTTTCCTTTGCTTAATTCAATCAGTATGGTGCAAGGAAGAAAAGTAAGAAACGATTAACTGCTTTACATTTTTCAATTAATGGGCAAGGACATGCACCTGATTATGTTAAAAGAACAAAAGGGTAGAAGTGATGATCTACCTATGTATTTTTTAATTTTCCTACACGCGATAGAGTTTTACTTGTAAAATAAATAATTTCAATATTGAACTAATCCGGTCATCAAAGTAAAAAGGAGATGATAAATTAGTCAGAGCATCTTAGCTTACAGAAATGTGCAGAAGAAAGAAAAAGATTAGAGCAGACCTTAGTTGTCAGGTACTATCGTAGCGTTAGTAAATAATTTTGATGCTTGTAGTAGATGTTTCTGCACCTCGGAGAGTAATCCTATTTCACATGAGCAATCATAGAAATGATATGTTTTTGACATTTACCTTTCAAAATAGTAAAAAGTTGATCCAATATTATCTCCCAAACAGTAAAAACAGTTAATGGACCAACCTCATCATGGTTCTCTTCCCCGCCGTTAAACTTAGAATGTATGGTAAGTTGTTGAGTCTATAAGTGAGGCTGCATTAGAAAAGAATATAACTGTGAAGAACCATATAGATATAAATTGTCCCTATCATGCTACCAAAACTACACTTGTTTTCGAAATTAAAAGAAAAAACCTTTTCCTTAAAAAGTAAAACTATACCGGAAGCCAAAAATATCACGAGCAAAGACAATATCACAATTCTGAATGACAAGAAATATATGAAACTCGAGAATTGGTAATTCAACAACAATCATACTCTATTTGATATAAGACATATCTTAAAATGCATTCATTGGCGGATAAACCTATTAAAGAGTAATAAACATAGATTAGCTTCAGTTCTCACCCTTCAACCTGCAGTTACTTTCAGAAAATCCTCTAAATTCAAAGAAGTGAAGGGAAAAAATATTAATTGGCTAAAGAAGTCTGAAAACTGACTTTCGAAAAATTTCATCTTAATCCTTTTAAACTATCATAAATTTAACTGGAATTGTAACTTCTAAGACGCGGGTTGTCTCTTTTCAAGGTCTTCCTCTTGCTCAGTCATAATAGAAGTCTCTGGCGAAGGAATTGAAAGAATAATGAAATTGCAGAAAATTTAGCTATCACAAAGGAAGAAAAATGTGCTCTTAGCTATTTCCACAAGCAACAGGTTAGGCAAAAAAGAAGGCAAAACCAGTAGTGAGGATGACTAAATAACTCTCTTGATGTCATGTGTGTGAGCTGGTTCAAACTGTTTGGTCAGTTATTGAGTCTATCAGTTAGGTTGCATTTGGACAGAATATAACTGTTAAGCACCATAGAGACATAAATTGTCCCTACCATGCCGCCAACAAATAGCCCCGGTAAACGCAAGTGTCACGCGAAGGAAGGAAGAATAAGGAGATTGCAAAAAATTAAGTTATCACAAAGGAATAAATTGTGTTGTTAAATATTTCCAAAAGTAATAGGTTAGACATAAAAGAAGGCAAAACAATAAGTGAGGATGACAAAAACTCTTTTCATGTCATGCGTGTGAGTTGGTTCTTTGGACCTTTGTCAGCAAAGAATGAGCCAATAATGAATGCACAACCAATTATGAAGCAGGTATCAGTTTTCTGAGGCATCAACAGCATGACAGGAAGAAACATAGTGAAGGAATTTGATTGAGAAGGGCAACGTTTTGAGGTCCTGTTATTTTTAAACCAAAGTAAAAGGTCATTTAAGCAGAATTATTAACAATATCGTAGGTGACGTACGTATACATAATATATTTGGCACCAAAAGAAGACTAACAGGATTAGGCCTAGGTAGGTTAAGTCGATCAACAGAACATTATTTTAGAACTCATATTCGAGTACCGAGAATTTCTTTAGAAACTTCGATTACTCAACTATTAATCAATTACAAAAATACTGCAGAGAAGCAAAACGTTAAAACTAAGTGAAAGTCGAATATATTACCTTCGAATTCTGTAAAACCAATTCTAACGAATATGGTATCTCAGTCTAAAATCGATCCGGGATTATCCACATTCGAACGACTCTAACTTTGATATTCCTTGCATCGAGTTGCTTGAAATTTGTCTGATATCATGAACTTTTGTAGCCATATTTGCAAAACAGTTATAATGAGACAGGTATACTGAGCAGATAAAATACAGAGTTGAAAAGGATTTGAAAATATAAAGCGCATAAATCCTTCGGTTATGGAGGTGTAGATAAAAAAAGGATTTTGGATTGGAAGCCCACGTTTGGGAGCACGATTAGTCGAGGGTTCCTCGGATGGTTTCTTTTTTCCATTTTTTTTATTTATAAAAATAGTTGCAAATTTGAGTGTGTGGTTGTTTATTAGAAAACAACCAAGAAAATAGTGGGAAGATTTTTTTTTAATAAAGTTGTATACTAAACAAATAGAATAACTTCCAACACGTTGGATTGTAGTTATTTATTAAAAAATGGTTGTCAAAAATAGTGGGAGGATTTTTTTTTTTTAAAAATAAAGTTGTGTACTAAACCAAAGAATAACTACCAACACGTTTGATTGAAATTCCCAGGTTCCAAGTTAATTTCCTGATTAGTACTTAAAATTCAATTTGAAACTCCAACTATCTTGGACATTTGTTCTAATTTTTGATACGTGTTGAATTCTGGTTACTCCACTTGGCAGCCTATCATAATTTTGCTTTTGTTATTCTATATAGATAGTATTTGATTGAAAGGAAAAAGAAATTTTTAACTTTGATTGAAAGAGTAAAAAAAATAGTAGGAATTTTCAGAAATCACTATTGTTTAGTGGTTATTAACTTCCTATAGCTACCATATACATAATTACTTCCTATAGCTACTATTAAGTTGTAACGGTAGTGTATTCGCTGTATTCGCGCTGCTGTATTCATGAATACACCAGCAAAAAAGGCCTAAAAATCAGGATAGTCCAGATGTACGCGCATGTATTCACATGTATTCGCGCCATGTATTGATGAATACAGCAGCAAAAAGCGCCTAAAATCGGGGCAGTCCAGTTGTATGCACATGTATTCACATGTATTCACGCTCCTATACTCATGAATACATCAGTAAAAAGTGCCTAAAATTAGCGCATGTATTCACACGTATTCGCGCCATGTATTGATGAATATAGTAATGACAATCACCTTAAAAATAGGTATGTCCAGCTGTATAAAAGAGAGGAAAAACATAAATATCGTATTTCATGCCGCAATGATGGTAATTTACCATAAATACTTATTTTGTTATAAAATATAAAAGGTAGCTATAGAAAATAATATTTTAAAATGAATTTGATTTATAATAAATAGGATATATATATTTGCTATAGGAGATAAAATTTCCTAAACAAATCTTCTAACTTTATTTCACAATTGTTTGTTTTGTAACTTTTATGTACTACCGCTTGCATGGATATTGGAGTAACATTAGTTTGGTTCTAATTGTTGGAGTACATATTTTGATTTCAGTAAAATGATCTAGTGAAAATGTTTTAAATATTAGTAGGATCTTTTATCAAATAAGAAAAAAATTAATAATTAAATTTTAGTTAATTTTAAAATCCTAAATATTAGGATAATAATTAAATTATAATTTTATTTAATATAAAATTTATTTTAAAATAATAGAAAAGATGAATGATATTTTTCTAAAGGGCTTAATATAGTATAGTATAGTATAGTATAGATAGATAGATAGATAATGAAATTATTCCAAATTAAAAAGGAAAAATTTAAAGAGAAAAAGAGTATTACCCGAGAGAGTCAACGGTCTACAAGATTATATCACTCACAGATGATGGGAATTCAGATCGACGGTGTAGAAAACCCAGTTAAAAAACTAAGGCTAATTCGGTTTGTATAGAATAATTTCCCCGACAGAAAAACAACTTGATAAACACGATTCAATTAAAAGAGCTTATAAAAACAAATAACACCATTTGCCCCCACGCATTTTTATTTTCTCTACAAGTTTCTCTCTTTCGTTGCGAGAACTCATCAGCAGAAAAATGGTGAAAGGTCCAGGTCTTTATTCCGACATCGGCAAAAAAGCTAGAGGTCAATTTTCCATTCCTTTTTTTCTATTTTCTTTTTTTTTATAATGGGTATTGTAAAATTAGATGAGATGTATTAATATGTCCATTTGTTTTTGTTGTATAGATCTTTTATACAGGGATTATGTCACTGACCATAAGTTCACCGTTACTACTTACACTTCAAACGGAGTGGTTAGTATATCTTTCTCTACAGTTTTACATGTTTTTTGTTGTATTTTTGCATTTGGGTTCATAGTTGTGGGCCAATATTCTTGATTTTGTTATTATATTTGGTTCCTCAATTTTTTCTTATTGAATTTGGGTATTCAGTGTAGTTAGAAAGCTACTGTTTGATATTTTTTCATGCTTAATATGCCGTGGAAAATCTGGTGAAGACTATTGTGAGGTTTAACCCGAGGTGTGGCTTAGCGATTAATGAAGTGAGTAAAAATCATAGTTGACCAGGTTCAATTTACAACAACAAAAAAAGCTAGGTGATTTTTTTTATTTGACTAAATAGCCTCTTGCAGAAATGCAGGGGAAGGCTGCGTACAATAGAGTCATTGACCCTTGTGGTCCGGCCCTTCCCCGGGTCCCGTGCGTAGCGGGAGTTTAGTGCACTGGGTTGCTCGTTAAGTCTTGGCGGGTGAAGTTACCTGGTACCTAGGCTGGTGGGAGGTAGCATGTACCTAGTCATGGTGCGTGCAAGATGACATTAAGACCAAATAAGATTATATTGTGGGTTGAGAAGTGAATCTTGTGAGCGAGCCTCCTTGGTAGATAATGGGAAATGGGAAGTTCTTCTTTTCGTTTGATAATTATGATGACTGGGCCGCACGTTTCGATATCCACTCGGTACCTACTATCTCCCATCACCAGAAGTACCGGGTGACACTATCCACTAAGACATAGACATACGAGAAGAAATCATTTAGCGTCTTCTGCCTTTGTACTCTGGTCTCCATATGGTCGATTCGAGCTTCATTAACCACCAGGACACGCTTAGATGCAAATATTATTCTTTCTTGTTTTTTTGTTTGATGTAAAACTGAGAAGAAGTTGAGGACAGAAAAGAAAAGGTAACCATTTATGTAGCCAAGAGTTTGGGGAATATGAGCATTAATGAGGAAATAATTGGCACTACTTATTTGGAAAGAAGAAATGGGTTCTTATTTAATTGCATAATTGTATTACTTTCTACAGTTCCTCTTTCTCAAATTGAAAAAAAAACTTTATCAGTTTCTCTTTCTTTGGCTGCAAGAATAATTGTATTAAACATAAAGAAATGCACACGATAATCAGAATTGCAGTTTTAGAACTAACTTCGGAAACCATATTAACATTGAATAATCTGAAATGAAATCCTTGTAGCTGAATGGGAGAGTCCCAGATTAAGTAGAGATGGCAGACGTACTTTTATGGTCTTCTAAATGAGGAGGGGGACCGGGATATAGCGCTAGGGGACTTGGGGCATTTGGAGAGTCTCCGAGATTTTAGGTATTGCAGGCGCATTAAGGTGGAGGAGGTCGTGGTGGCTTTGCGTAAGATGAGTAGGGGTAGAGCGACCGGGCCAGATGAAATTCCGGTTTAGTTTTGGAAGTGTGTGGGTAGAGCAGGATTGGAATGGCTGAGTGGGTTGTTCAATGTAATTTTTAGGACGAAGAGGATGCCGGAGAATGGAGGTCGAGTACAGTGGTACTGTTGTACAAGAACAAAGGTGATATCCAGTGTTGTAACAATTATAGGGGTATCAAGTTACTTAGCCATACCATGAAAGTCTGGGAGAGGGTGGTGGGGTGAGGGTGAGGAAGACGACGTCTATATCCGACAATCAGTTTGGGTTCATGCCGGGCCGCTCCACTACGGAAGCTATCCACCTTATTAGGAGGTTGATGAAACAGTACAGGGATAAGAAGAAGGATCTGCACATGGTATTTATTGACTTGGAGAAAGCGTATGATAAGGTTCCTAGGGAGGTGCTCTGGAGATGTCTTGAGGCGAAGGGCGTGTCGGTAGCCTACATACGAGCGATCAAGGACATGTATGATGGAGCTAAGACTAAGGTTAGGACTGTGGGAGGCGAGTCGAAGCATTTCCCGGTTGTTATGGGATTACACCAAGGCTCTGCGCTTAGCCCGTTCTTATTTGCCTTGGTGATGGATGCTTTGACACACCATATTCAAGGGGAGGTGCCATGGTGTATGTTATTTGCTGATGACATAGTTCTAATTGACGAGACGAGGGCCGGCGTTAACGAGAGATTGTAGGTCTGGAGACAGACTCTCGAGTCTAAGGGTTTCAAATTGAGCAGGTCTAAGACAGAGTACCTGGAGTGCAAGTTTAGCGCTGAGTCGAGGGAAGTAGGCGGGGACGTGAGGCTTGGGTCACAGGTCATTCCCAAGAGAGATAGCTTCAAGTACCTTGGGTCGATGATTCAGGGGGACGGAGAGATCGACGAGGACGTCACTCACCGCATAGGGGCGGGCTGGATGAAATGGAGGCTTGCATCTGGAGTCTTGTGTGACAAGCAAGTGCCACCGATACTCAAAGGTAAGTTTTATAGAGCTGTGGTTAGACCGGCCATGTTGTATGGGGCAGAGTGTTGGCCGGTTAAGAACTCCCATATCCAGAGGATGAAAGTAGCAGAGATGCGGATGCTGAGGTGGATGTGCGGGCACACTAGGATAGATAAGATTAGGAGTGAAGATATTCGGAAGAAGGTGGGCGTCGCCCCTGTGGATGACAAGATGCGGGAAGCGAGGCTCAGATGGTTCGGGCACGTGCAGAGGAGAAGCCTTGATGCACCGGTGAGGAGGTGTGAGCGGTTGGCCGTGGTGGGTACGAGAAGAGGTAGAGGGAGACCTAAGAAGTATTGGGGAGAAGTGATCAGGCAGGACATGGTACGACTGCAGATTTCCGAGGACATGACCCTTGATAGGAAGACCTGGAGGTCTAGCATTAGGGTTGTAGGATAGGAGTAGTAAAGCGTTCCTTACTTCATACTGGGGTGAGACGGGGTTGGATTAGGGTTGATCTTAGATGGCTTGCAGTTTATGTTGAACCCACACTATTCTTGTTGTTTATCTTAGCCCCGGGCCTTAGATTCTGGTTACTGTTATTGCATGCCACTCATCTTTTGGTTTTTATGCTTCTTTTACTATTACGGTTTCTACTGGAGTTACTAATGAATTCTTTTTTCTTGTTTTTTTATTTTATTTTCGTATTTCTGAGCCGAGGGTCTATCGGAAACAGCCTCTCTGTCCCTATCGGGGCAGGGGTAAGGTCTGCGTACACATTACCCTCCCCAGACCCACTATGTGGGATTTTACTGGGTAGTTGTTGTTGTTGTTGAAATCCTTGTAGCTGAAAGTTAGCTTTGAGTGATCATCTTTATTTTGTGGGAGTTATTTTCTTCTTATAATCTCAAACTGCATTATGCATATCTTAGAATAGTTTCTGTGTTGTTACCTAATGCATATATTGGTTGCATTGCTTTGTTTAACAGTGGATTACTGTTTCTTGATACTGCTTCAGTGGGTCTGTAAGTAAATGTATTGCTGTTCTGTCTCACTTTTCAGGCCATTACTTCATCTGGTGTTAAGAAAGGCGAGTTTCTTTTAGCTGATGTAAACACTCAGCTGAAGAACAAAAACTTCACCACTGATGTAAAAGTGGACACCAATTCGAATGTAAGTTTTGCTTCATTTCCTTTTGTTTTTTCCTCTTTTTTCTTTAGACATTTTTTTCTGTCTCTAATTTTGTATGTTATTGGATGATTTAATGCTTCAAGAAATTTGAAAGTTACAGTTTATTTCTCTTTGCTCTTATTGGGATTGTTTCATATTCTGGTTTGAAATTACAACAAATGTTGTCAAATGCTTTGTCCAACAATTATTGCTGTAAGTTGAAATGTTATGACAGCCAGTGTATCAATGTCTATCATACATAGTTTCTGTTGATATCTCTTTCATCAGACAGTTGAAAAAGTTCCATCCATCAGTGTTGTGTTATGTCGTCCGCTCGAACTTAATCCATTCTCTTCCTGCAGTCTCTGATTCTATCAACAAATCATGTCTTATATGTTAGCTTATAGTAATGTTTAGTAGTCTTGATTATAGTGATGTTCCTGTGTGATGTGATTGGATAAGCTACTTGAGACACTCCCCTCTCTCTCTCTCTCAAAAGCGGAGGACAAGGCTTAAGAATATAACAGATATATAGTTGTTACACGCATTATCCTTTAATAAAAGGATTTACCTTTTAGATTTATTAAGATAAAGATTTTTTCTTTTCTATAGCTATAAGAAGATCGAGAAATCATTGACTTTTAGCAAAAAATATGCATGGATTTTCTGTCTGTAACGAAACTTTATCTAGTGGCTACCCACTTTGTTCATTTTGGTAATGGTGGATTGATCTATTTTTAGACTGATTTCATGTGTATTTTAAATTCGAAAAGGCTGGATATATGATGGCAAATTTGATAATCAAAACGGATGAGTTTGACAGCAAGGTCGAATCATAATTGCTTAATTGTGTGGAAGCACTACATTTTTTAGTTATCTAGCTTGGCTGCTCCACGCTTCCCCTTCCCCAAGGAAAAGTGATTTTTGTGCTCTTTCTTCTTTTTTGGTTTTTGAAGTTCCAGAGGTTGTTCCTTGATAATGTATTAAAGCTAAGTTTGACTTTCCATTGGAGCTGGGACTGCAGTGCTCTTGACCATTAATTTGGATTTTAATAACACAGGTCTACACTACCATTACTGTTGATGAACCTGCACCTGGACTGAAGACGATCTTCAGCTTTGTTGTCCCAGATCAGAAATCTGGAAAGGTATTTGGTTCTTCTTTTATTACGTGAACATTTTTATGAATTGCTTTATTTTTTACAAAACGAATCATATTGCTTACAGGTAGAGCTCCAGTACTTGCATGAGTATGCTGGAATCAGTACTAGCATTGGACTTGCAGCAAGTCCTTTAGTCAACTTCTCTGGTGTTGCCGGCAACAATAAGATTGCATTGGGCACTGATCTGTCATTTGATACCTCGTCAGGCAATTTCACGAAATGCAATGCTGGTTTGAATTTCACCACTTCTGATTTGATCGCGTCCTTAGCATTGTAAGTACTCGAGTGGGGTATTCTTGGACATAAAATATGTTGGGTTTCTCATTGATTAAATTGTCTTCTAGCCCTCTTTTGTGTTGTTTTTCAAAAAAGTTTTGCTTTTTTGTTAGTTTTCTGGTTTTGTGCCACAAAAAGAAAGACACTGGTTTTGGATTCATATCGTTTAAGGTAGAAAACTAATTCCTCAACTTATGAGTTGCTCTTTTGAAGAGAAATGACTACTGTAATGTAATGAAATCGTGATTTGGGGTTTACATGTCTCTTGACTGTTCCTCTCTTTGTGTATTCAATGCCATATTCTGGTCAATCAATCATTGTTTCTGGACTGATAAGATGAAATCAATTATCAGGAATGACAAGGGTGATACGCTCACTGCATCCTACTACCACACCGTGAATCCGTTGACCAATACAGCTGTTGGTGCAGAGTTGACTCACAGCTTCTCAAGCAACGAGAACACTATGACCATCGGAACACATCATTCCTTGGACCCACTGACCACAGTGAAGGCTCGGGTTAACAGCTATGGTAAGGCAAGTGCTCTCATCCAGCATGAGTGGCGTCCAAAATCCCTCTTTACAATCTCTGGCGAAGTGGACACCAGGGCAATTGAAAAGAGCGCCAAGGTTGGATTGGCCGTAGCCCTCAAGCCATGAGCTAGTTACTACCTTATACAAGAAAGTAAATGCGGCTGGTTTGTTTTGTCTTAGCCCGAATCAATAAATTAGGTAGAATTTTTTTGAGCACATAATCCTTCTCATTGGGGGGACAATGATCTTATGAGTGTTACTGATTTCCTATACGTTTTTCTGGGCTGTAAAGAATAATCTTTAGCTGGTGGTGCAAACCAGTTTGATTTTCTGCTTTGACCTATCCAAAAGGTTAATTGATGGATTGATTTGTCTTCACCTGATCTTCATCCTTGTGAGTTGTGTGTATTTTGATTAATTTGTCTTTCTTGTTATATTGTGAGCTTGTGTAAGTTATCTGACCAAGTCTTGGCGAACAGATTTATTGATGCAGGTTATTGTTGGCTGTAGCAATAGGCTAGTTAAGGTGCGTGCAAGTTGTTCTGTGTACCGGCATTATTGATACCGATGCGTCGGAAACCTTGATCTTACTGGTGCTTATTTCCTTCTTAAAAGTCTCATTATTTATGTCTTTTTTCCCTTGCAATCGTATGAAAATATATGTCATGAAAACCTGTATTGGAAAGAGTAATTGTTTTCTACTAATCTGGGATTGGCGAGTTTTATTGATTGATTGAAATGTCAGGATAAATTTCTCCACGGTGGTAAATGTCCAAAATCTCTCTTTTTGTTCTTTCCAATAAATTTTTCTTATTTTAATACTACAATTTAGTACGAAAGTAGCTCCACACAAAATTAAGCCAATGATTTGTCCCTTTTTTTTTTAGGCTGTATGTAAAAGAAAGAAACCAATCAACCTTTCTGGAAAATACTCTACGACAATTCTTTCTGAGGCGAGTTTTTCCAACAAATAGTTTTTTGGAAAACTCGTTGACCATAGTGTAAGAGAATCTCAATTTGTCGAGCATCATCAATTTTAAGAACATTTTTTTCTTCTTTTTAAAGTACAACAGTAGCATTAGAGCTCTCATAATTGATCTCATTTATTGACTTCCACAATTCATTTTTTCCCCTTGTTCTTGTCTCACAAGTATCATCGATATATCAGTTAAATCCATAATCCAGACTATGCTAATACTCTATGTTGAAGTTTAAATACTAGATATTCAGGTGAACAAATTTAGTAAAAGTTGAACAAATTGTAAAAAAAATTCTTTTGTTTAGGCATTGTTTCCCCGCAGCTGCCTTTGTTGTGGGATTATACTAGGTTGTTGTTGTTTTGATAAGATAAATGGCTTGAGTTATTGTAACTAGTCCTAGTTGAAAATGGGTTTTCATACATGTATTTTAAAGCTGTAAATCAATACCAACAATAATAATGCTAAAAGGAAAAGGAAATGTATGGGTTCAATGAATTCTTTTAACGCCAAGAAAAATAAATAGATTAAACAAGTACAACTAAGAGCTAGCTGATGATACAAGCAACTTCTCCACCGTTGTATGTAATGGCTAAGGGAACAAGAAGGTGGTTAGAGAAAAGATTACTACAAAGATCAAAAGTTTTTTCAATGATTGACAAAAGTGAAAATTCAACAATCATAAAGCAGTAAGATTGTCCTCGCTTTATGATTGTATTCCTACAAGGTGAGAAAAAAAAGTTCAGGTGATTGTATTCCTATGCAGAAGACTTCTTTGGACAGGAGGAGCTGAAATATTTAACAATGTTCTAATTGCATGAGATAGACTATGTTCGCCCATGACTGCTACTGGTTTGGACATACTAAATGTACATACATAGTTGGAATAAGGCTGCTATCTAAAAGCTACTTGGAACTTATGCCAAAAGAAGGATAAATTATGGGTTTAGTGAGTGCATAGTTATTAAGGTAAGGGGTCGTTTGGTTGGAATATGATTTATACCGGTATAAGTTATGCCGATATAAGTTATATTATTAGGATAAGTTATGCTGGGATTAGTTATGTTGGGATTGTTTTTTATTCATTGTTTGGTATGTTGTATTAAGAATGACAATTGCGTAATTTCTAAGAAGAAGGTATAAGTTATACCGGTGCTAATTACCCCACCTTCTATAAGGTATAAGTTATCCCAGTGTTAAAATTAACACCGGTATAACTTATAACTGGTTTGCTAACCAAACAGAGTATTAAAATGGTATTAAATTTTTATACTACCCTTATACCTTCTTATACCTCATACCAAACGACATAAGTAGTTAGAAAGATTCTCAAATCGTCCTAATCAATTTGAAACAGGTGGATAATTTCTCAGTCAAGATACTGTATTCTAAGATTAGGGGAAGTTTCCTAAAATTAAATAGAGGAGGATTGTCTATAGTCTATATATAATAACCAAGGTGGATCTTTATTCTATATTTGGCTATTAATAAGAGATTGGTAACTAAAGACAAATGGGTAAAATGGTGTGTTACAACTAATCTGAGGTGTCCTTTGTGTTCTTCTGATGATGAGCACATTGATCACCTGCTCATTACCTGCCCTGTTTGCGCTAATGATTGGACAAAGCTGCTGCAATGGATAGGAATGGGCAGGCAAGTAATGGGGTGACATATATGGAGAGTCCGAAACTTTTCTAATGTTTTTTTGGACAAAAAATACATTTTTACTACTAAAAAAAAAAGTTACCTAAATACCTAATTCGCAGTACTATACTGCAAATTACTTTAACGAAAATTTAGCCGTTAAAGTAATTCGCAGTAGAGTACTGCGAATTATTAACTAAAAAAAAAAAATTTAATTAATTCACAGTACAATACTGCGAATTGAGTACACTCCGATTTTTTGGGCCCAGCAATTCGCTGTATTATACTGCGTATAAGCAACTCGCAGTATAGTACTGCGAATTGCCTTCAAGGTGATTTTTGGTCTACTTCGTCCACAATGAGATGTAAAACTTTGTAATATGACTCAAGGACTTAAAAATGTTCGTGCAGGCCTCTCTAAAAGTGAAATGCTTCTTTTCAAGTCCCCAGTAACCCATTAGGATTGCTTCACGACGAGCAACACTTTTACGGCAAATTGTAGTTAAAGGCAATTCGCAGTACTATACTGCGAATTGTTGGGCCAAAAAACAGAGTGCACTCAATTCGCAGTATTGTACTGCGAATTAACTAAAATAAATTTTTTTTTAGTTAATTATTCGCAGTACTCTACTGCGAATTACTTTAACGACTAAATTCGTTAAAGTAATTCGCAGTATAGTACTGCAAATTAGGTATTTAGGTAACTTTTTTTTTTAGTAGTAAAAACGTATTTTTTGTCCAAAAAAATATTAGAAAAGTTTCGGACTCCCGTTAGAAGAAACACCACCACCAAAAGATATAGTGGGCGTTTAGACATAAGAATTGTAAAATTCCGAAAAAAGTAATAATTTTTTTTAATGTGAAAATGATATTTAAAAATTAGAGTTGTATTTGGACAGAATATAATTTGGGGCAGTTTTTGAATTTCTATGAGTTATTTGAAGTGAAAATTTTGAAAAGTATTTTTTTGGAGTTTTTCAATTTTCCAAAAAATTTCGGAATTTAACTTCAAATGAAATTTGAAAATTGCATGAATAAACTGTCGAGAATCACCATTAACGACCTTACTCTACCTCAATTAGGAACCCTAGCTACTGCTAGTGAACGAGCTTAACTAAGAGAGAAGGCAGAGCATAAGAGCTGTGTTTTGGAAATGAGAAATTGACTTTTTACAGAAGAAGAGATACAATGCTATCTTATATACACGTGTTCTAACCTCTAATGACAGCTTTCAACAACTAATATAACAACTTAACCAACTAACTAACTAATTACATAATTAGCTACTAACTACAGCCTATTGACACATGTCCCTCAAGTTATTGCTCCTTCAATACTCCCCCTCAAGCTGGCAGGTGCAAACACATTTAGCACTCACAGCTTGGACACAAGATAATCATGCTGTGATCTTCCTAATGCTTTTGTAAGGAAATCTGTCTGTTGTGCTTCTGAACTGATGTACAAAGTCTTCACCATGCCTGATTGGATCTTCTTTCTAATGAAGTGACAATCCATCTCTATGTTTTTTGTTCTTTCATGATAAACTGGATTTGCTGCTATTTGTAGAGCTGCCTTACTGTCACACTATAGTTCTACAGGTAGGTTCACCTCTGCTCCAAGCTCTTTGAATAACCCTACTAGCCATACTAGTTCAGATACTGTCATTGCCATGCTTCTATACTCAGCTTCGGCTAAATTCAACTGAGCTCTTAGATACTGTATTATGTTTCTTTGATTTCCATGATATCAAAGAATCTCCATACTTCACAATGAACCCTGTGACTGATCTCCTTGTGTTTGGGCATGAAGCCCAGTCTGCATCATAATAAGCTTTCATTTTCTCTGGCCTCTTTGAGCTCATCAGAATCCCTAGTCTAGGTTCCATTTTCAATACCTTACAACTCATAGGGCTGCTTCCCAGTGTGACTTTTTGGGTTGCTGTACGAATTGGCTGAGTGTCTTAATTGCAAATGGAATGTCCAGTCTTATCATTGTCAAATACAATAGCTTCTCTATTAGCCTTTGATATTTTCCTCTATCTTTCAAGCAGTTCATCACCTGTTTCACCTGTGACTTCATCAAGTTCTTTAGCTGTAAATTTCTGATTGCTATCAAGAGGAGTCTAGGATGGTTTTGCAGCACTCAGCCTTGCATCTTCTATGAGCTACAATGCATACTTTCTTTGGTTTATAAGAATTCCTTTCTCTGATCTACTGAATTCCAAACCCAAGAAATATCTGAGTTCCCCTAGATCTTTGATCTTGAATGCCTTATGTAGTCTTAGCTTGGTCTCCTCAATTAGCTTTAAGTCATTCCCAGTCACCAACATATCATCAACATAGACATGTATGATGACCGTACTACTATCCTTTCTCTTTGTAAACAAAAAGTAATCTAGGCAGCTTTGCACAAAACCAAATTCCTGTAAGGCACCTATCAGCTTCAAATTCCATTGTCTATTGGCCTGTTTGAGCCCATAGAGGGATTTAACAAGCCTACGCACAACTCCAGACTCCCCCTGGCTGGTGAATCCCTCTAGCAACTGCATGCAGACTTCATCATGTAAATCTCCTTGAAGGAATGCATTGTACACATCCATTTGACGGATGTGCCAATTTTCAGTTGCTGCAAGAACAATGACTGATCTGACTGTTGCAATTTTTACCACTGGGGAGAAGGTTTTATTGTAGTCCAATCCTTCCATCTGGTTGTAGCCTTTAGCAACCAGTCGAGCTTTGAACCTCTCTACAGAACCATCTGCA